ACCTTCTAGATCCATCCAGGTCATTGAGTTTCTCTCTCTCTCTGAGCCCATGATTTCCAAATGCTCCTATCAGTAATCTCTTAATATTGGACTATATAAGGGTGTACCAGTTTCTATAAGTAAGCCCATGTCCAAATTATACCTGTAATTTTCTTCCTTATTTTTTATTGCCAGGAATATTCAGAAAGGTTTTTGTTGTTGTTGTTGTTGTGTTGTGTTGTGTTTTGTTGGAAAGTTTTATTTAAGTGTTTTGTGTCGCCTTTTAACCAACACCAAAAAGAGAAAAATAATTTTGCCCTTACAAACTGGAGTGTCATTTCAGAGAGGACTGGGCATGCATATTGAGAGCTGGGAAGTGTCTGCCTCCCTAGGCTGCTCTTCCCAGCCATGCTACCCGGGGTGGGATCGCCAGTCCAAGGAGTTCACTTTCTGGGAGCCCTGGGAGACCTTGGAATGAGTGAGGGAGCAAACTCCCATCCTGCAGAGAAGGACTTGGTCTCTTCTGAAGGTAGGGGCATGAGTCTGGTGGGGCCTGGTGGTTCCAGAGGGGAAAGGAGATCCAGAATATTCCATGGAAGCTCCAGGTCCTCCAGGTCTGTAAAATACATTTGCTGGAAAAATAAGATGCTTTGAAAATTTCTGCAGTCTGTGTTGTCCACCTACCCATGAGAAAACTACTCTGTTGACCAAAGGTGGCAGGAGGGAGGAAGCAGAGGCTGGAGGCCAGGAACTAGTCTGGCCCCAGTGGAGGATTCCAGAAGGGAGTGAGTCAGGCACTGGTCTTTGGTTTCCTAGGTCCTCTTTCTGGCAGCTGTAGAGGCTATGAAGACCCCAACCTAGCTGGCCCTTGAGGTATGGGCTCCCAGGTTGTGGGCAGTGCTGAAAGAGGAAGGCTGGCCATCCGTCAGAGGTCAGTGGGTGCCCAGGCCATGGATGCTCAAAAAAGTATGCCCAAAAGGAACAAGGCTAGCTGGAGGAACAGGGGTCCTGGGGACGGCCTGCTTGCCAAACTGGCTGAGGCACAGTGGTCATAGTTGGCACTGATGTAGGCCAATTAAGCTATCAGGTGGGGGAAATGTAGTTCTGCTTTGGATGGTGTGCAGCAGGTGTGCCATGGGACCCTTGGTGAAGACTGCCATGTCCTCCCTGTCATAGGTCTCATGGTGCAGGGCACAGGAGAATGCACCTGGTTACTGCGGTGAGCATAGTCCACCATGGAGACATACTCTCGCTCATGGCCTACCACCTTGTATCCAGGCCCATTGCCATACAGGATGGCAGTGAAGGGCTTCTTGTCTGTATCACTCACCATGGGGGCCAGACCAAAGATAGAGTTGCCTGGGGTGTACCTGCCAAAAATGAAGACATAGGAGTGGTCCACAGTGACAATGGTCAGTGTGTCTTCCAGGGAGATCATGGTGAGTGCCTACCCAATTGCCTGGTCCATTTCCACCACCTCATGCAGAGCCGCTTGGCCTTTTCTTCCAAGTTATACCAGGAATTTTCATCTACTGCTGTTTCTATACTTATTCCCCTTCTGTATTTTTATATATATATAAGGTGTTTATTTATTTATTTGGGAGAGAAGACAGAGGAAGGGAGAGAGTGAGCATGAGGGGTGGGGAAGGGGGAGGGCAGAGGGAGAGGGACAAGCAGACACCCCGCCTAGCAGGAAGCCTAACGTGGGGCTCTATCCCAGGACCACAAGAGTATGATCTGAGCCAAAATCAGACTCTTAAGTGAGCCACCCAGGTGCCCCTTATTCCCCTTGTGTTTAGCCTTCTTAGTTACCCATAATTTCATCTTGGATTCCCTAGATGCCTTATTGATTTTGACTTAATTCAGAGAATTGCTATGCCCCTTGAATGCTCTTTTAGCTAGTCAGAGGGTAAGCTGCAATTGTTTTGTTATCTTGAAATGCTTACCCAAAAGAGTAAAATCACATAATTTCTCCAAAGCCCCCAAAATTAAAAGGTTAAAAAAACATTTTAATTCCAGGTGAATAACCTCTATTAATTTTTTTTTGCCTTCAGTTCTGATTGTATATTTTTTCTGTTTATATTTAAGATTTTTTTTACTATTTGGGGCACCTGCGTGGCTCAGTGGGTTAAAGCTGCTGCCTTCGGCTCAGGTCATGATCCCAGGGTCCTGGGATCGAGCCCCGCGTCGGGCTCTCTGCTCAGTAGGGAGCCTGCTTCCCTTCCTCTCTCTCTCTGCCTGCCTCTCTGCCTACTTGTGATCTCTGTCTGTCAAATAAATAAATAAAATCTTAAAAAAAAAAAAGATTTTTTTTACTATTAACTTTTAAAAAATTTTAATTCCAGTATAGTTAAGATACAGTGTTATATTAGTTTCAGGTGTATAATGCAGTGATTCAGCAATTCTATATATTACTTAGTGCTCATACATAACACAGAGTTTTAATTAAAGCACACATAGTTGAACAGCCTTTACCCAAATTACTTTATTCTTGTTCAGTCCTCATTAATACATCTGTTATTCATTAATTTAAATTCTCAAATTGTAAACTACAGAATTAATCTATTTATTGACTAAATTATACATTTATTCAATGTTCAATTATTGAATATCTTATTTTTTTGATAGTGACATGAAGGCTGAAGTCATTAATCTAACCTTAAAAAAAGTAAAGAAAAGCATATCTTATTATAGAATAATCTTGTTTTAGGTCTTATCAGTAATCTAAAAAGAAATTATTTTTATGTAGCCAGGCTTAAAAATAAATAACTATCTTTCCTGAAGCCAAATTTTGGCTAATTTAGAAAATAAACTATTAAGCTAATACCCTAATTTTGTTCCTTACCAGTAACTTAAGTTGTATTAATTATTAAGGGGAGGGGAACCTATCCTCTTGGTTGCTTAATTACACTCAAATCTGTTTGCTTGATTACACTCATATTCAAAGCAATTTTGTTCATTTTATGAAAACTGAATTCTAATTTTCCTACATTGTTTAGTTACAAGTCTTCTATGTAAACTGCTCCTTATTCATCCCCAGTAAGACACTGTTTCTCTTTTAATAAACACTATCAAGTATTCTATGTCTTTTTTTCTTGTATGTGCTTTAATATCACTAGTTTTAATAGCAATTTCATTTAATTAGCTTTTTAAAAAACTATCACTGGCCAAGGTTAGAAGTGTGCAGTTTGCCTACTGGGAAAACTAAATCTTTGATACCATGAAACTTTGATATAGGAAGATCATCACAGAAGTTTCTCAGTAGCCTTTCTTGATAAAGAATCTCTGGAATACTAATACAGCCTTGAATCCTATTTTTTATTTTAATGACCACGTTTTTTAAATGAATTTATTTAAATTAAAGACAAGAGCCCAAGACTAAACATATACAATTCAGCAAATGTAGATGTCCATAAGCTCTAATGGGTTTATCCTCTTCGTTGGTTAATTGGAAATTAAACATTTTAACATTCCCCTAAGGAGAAAATTAACATTTTTAGTGATGTATCCCTTTATAAAATCTCATATTTGCATAATGTTAAATTAATATACACAGGTATATAGAATGCTTTGTCTTTACAAAAGTCAGCAATTTGTTTAGGAATTCAATTGGGGCAAATACTCAAATGAGTAAATACTCAAAAATGTATGTGAACTTCCCTTTCCCTTGGTTTCTTTGCCACTGTTTAACCTCCATCTTCTTGACAACCTTGTTGATTCTTCTATCACTTCAGATTCATCTTTCAGGTCCTTAAATGTATGTGTTCCTTAAGGTCTGATATTTATTCCTTTTTTTTCTTTCTTTACTGTAAGACTGTTGTTCCCATCTCTAAGAGGTTCAGCTAATTTCTGACAAATATTTGCTGCAGCTCTTTCTCCTGAGAGCTCCTCAGTTCCAATTCTCAAATTCAACCTATTTCCACAGCCAAGTCATATTCATTTGCAACAAGGAGACAAAGATGTCAGTTGTGCTGTGGCCAAAATGCCATCAGTACAGTAGTTGATGAGGCAGCTGTGACAGTTAATGACAATAATGTGACCATCATATTAAGTAAAAGAAAAAAATGTGGGCTTACAGTAATACTATAGGAATCAGCACACACAGCCAGTTGTTAGGCATGATGGCTATTCAGATAAAAAAGAGCTTAAGGCCTATAAGAAAGGGATGGTTTCACTGTTGTACTAATGAATAAATGAGGTAAGAGAGAAAATCAGTTTTAAGAATTGTCTTTGGATGGTGTTTTGGGCTGAACAGTATCCCTCTAAAATTCGTATGTTGAAGCCCTAAACTCTAGTATCTCAGACTATGAATTTGGGATTACCTCAGAATAGGAGATCTACTGCCCAGACTACAGCAACCACTTAACTGGCGTCTCTAACCCTCTTAATGGTCTTGTCTATCTTCTACACTGTTAGAAGGGTGATCTGTTAAAAATATAAATTCACCTATGATACCTTCCTTATGAAAAGTTTCCAACATTTCTCTGATCTAAGGGGATACAGTTCATAAAACCCACATTTCCTATTATGGCTAGGAAGAACCTCCTTAATAAGGACCATAAGCATTCTGTCAGTCTTACTTCCTTACTTGTACTTTATGTTCCAGTGTTATAAAACTCCTGGAGGTTCCCCTGATCTTATCAGGTTGTTGCATTCCTACATGACCTTGTGCATGCCCCTGGCTCTTCCAGTAAGTCTGTTTCCTTCTCCATTTTCCCCACAGTCCTTCTAGTTATCTCTTTCCAGATTTCTTCAGGGATCTCCTCTTGATGGATCAGGTGATAATTTTTCATGCCTTAACATAGTTCCTACCAACACAGCTCACTGGAGTAAAAGGCTACACGTTCCTAGATAAGGGATATTTTAGCACTAGTCCCTGAACTTGGCATATAGTCATTTCAGAGTTGCCCTGAATTCTTTCAGGATAAGTTATCAGAATTTGTCATATATTCATTCTATTATTGGGCATATATATTCAAGAACTCCATGGCAGACAATTATTTTTAATGCTCATCACTCACCATATTTATGGGATCAACTGGTCCAATGCTGTTTACATAAACATCAGTTTCAATTACAGTGGGCCTCACTGCAAAATACCAACATAAAGAATGGTCAAAAATAAGATCAGAGGTTGTGTTAAGTAAATCTTAGCTTTAAATAAATCTTCATAAATAACATTTATCATTTATTTATTTTTTTTTCAAAGATTTTATTTATTTGTCAGAGAGAGAGAGTACACACAAGCAGGCAGAGAGGCAGGCAGAGAGAGAGGAGGAAGCAGGCTCCCCGCCGAGCAAGGAGCCCGATGCGGGACTCGATCCCAGGACCCCAGGATCATGACCTGAGCCGAAGGCAGTGGCTTAACCCACTGAGCCACCCAGGTGTCCCAACATTTATCATTTAAATAATAAAATATTCTTCATTAGGAAATGAAGAAACATCACCCATTACAAAAACACAAATGTCTTTTGAACATTTCAGTTCACAAGTCAATTATGTATGTAAAAGTCAACATTTTTCACTAAAAACATTTTTTAAAGATTATTATTTTTTTATTTTAGGGGAAGAAAAAATGAGCATGAGCAAGGGGAGGGGCAGAGGGAGAGGGAGAGGGAGAATTCCAAGCAGACTCCATGCTAAGTGTGGAGCATGACTTGGGGCTCAATACCGGGACCATAAGATCATGACCTGAGCTGAAATTAAGAGTTGGATGCTTAGCCAACTGAGTCACACAGGCATTCCTAAAAACATTTTAGCATACAACATAAAAATGTTATAAATATCTAAATCCTTTTTAAAATTAAGGAAATTAATTTAATAATTAATTTGCTAGATAATTTGCTCTCTGCAATATGCTAGGATTTTAGAATTTGAATGAATATTAGTATCTAAGTATTACGCAATTCTATTTAATGCCTATCAGTTGTGTGCTTGTAACTGTTCAACAGCCTTTCTTCCATAGTGGATCCGGGAGAAGCCCTGATTTGTAGCTTTTGCCGATACCCATGGGTAAATATTCCCACAATGGCTGGTTTAAGGATACAAATGTGAAGTCACTGAATGCAGAGTTGGGATAGTATCTAATAAGTAGCTATCGTGAGCCAGTATAAGCATGCTCTAGCACCAATGGGACTCGAAGCATGGTTATGAGGATTAAAGGAGAGAATGTAAAGTATTTACCTTCAAGTCTGATTCTGATTCTTATGAGGAGCTTCATAAATATCTGTTCTTACTTCTTTCTCCCCTGTTAATAACATTCCTTTAAGTGGTTTATGTTGGCTTCAAACTTAGGTGCATTTTTATTTAAATTTCACAGAGTATATTGTATAGATATTTCTACGGATTTCATCTATTGTGTTGTATATATTACCATTTGTGTTTTCCCAGTTCATCTTAAATGGTATATACTGTATATCAGTATGTTTATAGTCTGTCAAAATGTGTAGTGCAGATCAGCCTTTTTTATCAAATTATCATTATCAAATGACATGATTTATGAATACCTGTAATACCCCCATATTAGATGATGATTTTTTGTTTATTATGAAAAATATTTTCATATAGTTTGCTTTATTCCCCTGTCCCACCAAATAGAATATAAAGGGTTCATTTATTATCTTAGCAAATACTTATTAAAGAGTGAATGTAAAGGGTTCACAATGTTGACAAGAAGAAGAAAACTATTTTTTTTATGAAAAAAAAAAGTCATATCTCAGAGAGATTTATTTAGAGATGATGCAAACAAAAAAAAGCAGATAAGCCTCCTTGAAGATTGAAAGTTTCTATAATAAAGGGCATGTTTAGTAACACTTACTCAGTTCTCCTTTATAAATTGTATCTGATTTCTTATTTCTGGACTAATATTTATCATTCTTAAAATTCAGACACTATGTTTGACCTGGAAGGACACACTTCCCCCTCTAACACATAGTTAAGCCTGCCTGTTAGAGTCTCTATTCAGCCCCAAGTCCCCTGTCTTGGAAATTTCCAATCTGGCAGATTACCGATGCTGGCAAGAATTCAGTGGAGAACTTGAGGTATTTTGAAAAAAACAGTATATAATTTTACAATATATAATATATTATAAATATATATATATCCTTTTGCAATTATAAAAAAATTACACTTAGAAAAACATTAAAATATTTGCATAGTTTGGTTTTCTTCAAGTAAAGATTTTATTATGTGGTATATATACGTTATTTAGTTAAAAAAGTAAATAAGATTTGTTAAAAATAGCTTTGGTATGCAAAACTATAGGTCTCTAGACCTACACAATACATGACAATGTAATTCAATCTGCTAGACAACAATTAGATTTCTTAAATAAAAGTATGTCATGTGATTTATAGCAGGCTTTATAATTTAACTTAGGCTGATGACTTCTGAGATGAATTCCTTTAATTGCCATTTATTTTTGATTGTGAATTGAAGCCAATAAATATCAGATAATTATGCTAGTTTTAGCTAGATTTATAGAATGGATTTTATGAAAGCTAATTAATAAAAAAATAGGTTTATTAGTTCCATTTGTAAGTATATTTATTTCCAGTTATAAGCAATTAAGTGCAACGTACCAGACTTATTTAATTAGATTTTTTTCAGTTCATCTGATAAATCAACAAACACTGAACACCTCTTTATTGCACGATAGTAAGGGTTGAATACTGTCTATGCAGATAAATAAATGATACCTGGGGGCATTTTTATTTATAGATCATACTTTTCACATTTATAGTATAGAACGTTTTAGATATGAGTCATCTATCCTGGTTTCCTAATACCAATATTTCCTTAACCAACCATGAGACATATATATAATATTAGGAAAATATAAACTCTTGCATTAGGGCATGAGCCACATTGAAATATTTCACGAGTAACAGAAATCAAGTTCATCTGCGATAGGATAAAAGAAGAATCACATTACTGAGTCCAATGTAGAACATTGCTGTTGATGAAGATATTCAATAAATAACTTAATAAATATATATTTGTAAACTATAAGTATGTCCTTAATTATTATGTACTCCATTTTTTAACTTGGGACTGATGGTATTTCATCTAGTTCTTTAAACTTCAGCCCCAAAACGTGAGGAAGAATAAGCCTGAAAGTGAACTAAAATATGTCAGATTAATTTTAAAACACCAGCTAGAGATTGTATGCTTCAAAATATATACTAAAGAGGAAAACAACAGAAAACTGTCATTGTTCCTTAATAATGACTCATTACCACTTTTATTGATTCATCCTATGAATAATACTTGTGGCTGAAATCACTTAAATACAGGCTTCTTGGTAGAGTGAGTACATTTTCTTAGCTCTATAATTTTGTCAATACAAAGTTTGTTCAATTGGAGGATTTTAATAATATTTTAAAAAGAAAACATCAGATTTCATTCAAAAATAAAAAAGGACACTAAAAAGAAATTGTCATTCCAGGCTCATTAAATGATCTTTAGGATGAGGGCAGAGATTATGTTTAATTCTTCAACGCACATGGAGATGAAAGATCTCCTTTTTTGTGATAAACAATGATGGGAAAAAAGTATTACCATAACAAATCACATTTTTGAGAGATGGAAAGGAGGTAGAGAGGACACTGAATTATTTTTGCAAGATCTCTTTCTGCATTGTGGTTCTAAGTACTTTGCTTTAAGTATCTCAACAGAATATAAGATAAACTCTCCGTGGGAGGGAATGAATATAAGAAAGAATGGACATTATGAGCAACTTAAAGAAAAAGCAGAGAACAGTAAGAAGAATCAAAAAAGAATTGAAAAAGAAGAAAGCAGTGAGATCAATGAAGTTTCCACACTCAACTTCCACATAGCTAGGGCAAAATTGAAGACAGCCAACTGTAGAAATAGGTAATCGGTTTTTAATCAGAAGGTACAAAATAAAACAGATTTTAAAAATACTTTCTTCATAATTATGTTTAACCATGCTTTCTTAGATGACATATTCAAATTACTCTAAGATATCTTTAGCAGATTATGTAGCTTCTGGCTCACTTTTGTATGTTAATTCAGATTAATTAATTAATTAAGGGTAATTAAAAATTAACTCAGGTCAATTAAAATCTCTAATGCTAGAATGTAAGTTTAACAGTCTTTTCTATTGTAACAGAATAGGCATTAAAAAAAAAAAAGAAATAGCCCCACTGATTTCTATATTACCATTATAACACACAGGTTTTGAAAGAACCATAACCAATATGTTTTTCTTGCTCTAGAGTAGAGAGCAAGGTTTCTCAACCCAAATATACCACTTTGGGTCCAGATACTTTTTCCCAGGCCTTGTTAACAAGGAAATGTCAACTAACACTCACCATCTCCTTCTTCAGGTTACATATGGACACATAGATAATTGGAAACATATGGATAAAAAGGTACATATGGATATATAAGTTCTTAAGTGCAATACAATACTTTAGTCGATAGATTCTGATACACAAAGCCTGAAACCATACTATCACAAATTCTGGATAGAAAAAAAAAATGCCTCCAAAGAGCTCTTCAACAGTTAAGTAATTTATTACTTAACCAAGCTACTATGCATGGTACATATGTCTACTTAAATTTAAATAGAAATTAAATTAAAGTAAAAATTTTTTCTCTTAGACATACTAACCATATTTCATGTAGTCAGTAGCCAATAACGAATATCAAGTATTCAATACACATACATAAGAGAATTTTAATATATATATTTAATTATCTATTTTAATATAATATAATGCAATTTATACATATATTTAATTATATATATATATACACACACATACACACACACACACACACACACACACACACATATATATATATGTATATATATATATATATATATATATATATATTCTTTTTTGGAAATGTCTTCTTAGAAAAATAGAAGATGGGCCTCTCATTCTATAGTTAAATTTGTCTTTAGGTAGCAGACTTAGTCACCTGCTCCCGCTCCTATATCTGGTGGGAGAGGGAGGGTGAGAAACGAAGGTAGAAAGGAACAATGGGATCTAAATAAACACAAAAGAATACTATGCAGCCATTAAAAAATGAAATCTTGCCATTTGCAAGAATGTGTAC